CTCACAGCAACCTCAAACTCCTGGACTCAAGCGATCCTCCTGCCTCAGCCTCCCGAGTAGGTGGGACTACAGGCATGCGCCACCATGCCCGACTAGTTTTTTCTGTATATTTTTAGTTGTCCAATTAATCTCTTTCTATTTTTAGTAGAGACGGGTCTCGCTCTTGCTCAGGCTGGTTTCCAACTCCTGAGCTCAAACAATCCACCCGCCTTGGCCTCCCAGAGAGCTAGGATTATAGGTGTGAGCCACCACGCCCGGCCCCAGAAGGCACTTTTGAATCACTGGAAACTAAGTGGGAAGAATGTTCTAAAAGGAAAGGCTGCTAATAAAGGATGAAATAAAAGAAAAGAGGCCTAGGACATCCCTGACTAAAGAGGCAAGGTACTCCAAAGCCAGAGTGACCCATTGCTTAAATATTGTGAGGATTACGGTCAGATTGTTGATTCAGTTCTCTGTGACTAGAGATCTCTTTTTAGCTTAGGCAAATAATCTAAACTTTCTAAATTGTTTCTCTCTCCATAGCTAATACAGTCTTCATCTTTATCAAAGAACCAAGAATAAGATAAAGAAAGATAGTGTTATTTTAAAGTTATAATCATCCAAATCACAGTATCTTTGTTAAAGAGCTTTTTTCTTTTCTATTTGATTCTTCTTAGGGGTTCTATGATGTTCTTCGAAGGAACTCTCAGCTGGCTAATTCAATCATGCAGACTCTGCTCTCACAGGTAAAATACATGTTTGTGGATATATGGATAATGGGGCATTGAGAAGCAATTAAAGTTTTCCAGACCTTTCAAAATATAAAAATAATTCTCAACTATTAATAGTACACTGGCACATTGTGAATATGCCTGTTCTGGGTGGTTTTATTTTGGCCACCACTTATGTACCTGCCATATTGCCCTCATCTAACAGTCATCCCTGTGAGTTAACAGTCATTCTAAGTCAGAAGGACATTTTGTAGAACCATTTGTATAAGGTTCTGATTAGCAGTTATGTTTTATTTCTGAAAGTAAAAAGAGATCTGGAGCAAATACAGCAAAATATTATCTTTTATATCTAGGTGGCATACATAGGTGTCTATTAGGTTACTTTCTGTACTTTTCAGTTTGAAAAATGTTTTTAAATTATAAAATATTTCAAAGGACCATCAAGAAGAGCAAAATTCAGATGGAGATTATCTGTCTTTTACTCTCAACATTTATTCATTTAAGCATTGATTTGAATCTTTTTTGGTTACAGCTTTATTGAGATATAATTCACATACCATATAATTTTTATTCTCTACCTAGAGGGTTTCTCTAGACCCTGGTCCATCATTTTGCTAGAAATGGAAGCTCATTCTCTGTCACTCTCTCAGTGCCATTGCTTCGTGATGATTCTGCTGAAGAAATTCCATTTGAAATTAAGGTCTCAGATGTGTGGGAATTTTTGGAAGGTCATATATTATCCATCAAAAGTTTGTCTTGAGCCATCCACTGGGCCTTGGGCCTGATCCTATATAAAATTTACATCCTATTAGCTATATTGTATCTTTCAAACTAATGATCAACCCATCTATATTCACATATTTAATAAGAATAGAAAATTATCTTTGAAGGCATAGAGCAGAGCTTCCTAACTCAGGTTAATATAAGCAGACCAGTAAAATTCTGCAGAATCCAAAAGTAAAAAGGAGAAAAATAATAGCTAACATTTTTCTTCAGTTCTTCTATATCCCAAGTAGTGTTTGAAGCACTTTACACGTATTGTCATGTTTAATCCTAATGTTTATATTAATAATATCCTCATTTTTCAGATGAGGAACCAAGGTAAGGATACCTTTGTAAAAATCAATAATAAGTGGTGGTCCTGGGATTTTGGACTCAGCCAGTGTTATTCTAGATCCTATATTCTTAACCAACAAGCTCTACTGAAATTGCTGATTGCCTGTACAATTTAGGAATAGGTGTGAGGGACTATGATAGAAGTAGAATAGGAAAAATGATCCTAATAAGCACAATGCCCAAAACAAGGGCAAAGGATGTAGGTGAGCCAAAGCAATAAGAATTTTGCTGCCTTATTCTTTGGACAGTTGGGAAATATATCTTAGAAGACATTAGACATTAAAGGTGGCTTAGTTTGACAAGTTTAAAAGGTGATAAGCATTTATGAGCCATGATGTTTTTTTTTTTTTCCCTTACTATACACAGTTAAAACAGTTCTATGAGCCAAAACCTGATCTGCTGCCGCCTCTGAAATTAGAAGCTTGTATTCTGACCCAAGGAGATCAGATCTCTCTACAAGAACCACTGGTGAGACTTTTATTCCTCATTTAACCATTATTTTTATTGTTAAGGATAGGGTTGATCTTCACAAAGAGATACTTTTTCCTGTGAAACTCTCTTCCTGGTTCTTCCAATAAATTTTTATTCTTAAATCTTTCCTGTTTATCATTTCTGAACTATTATCACCTTGGATCTATTGATAAGATATCTCCATGTTAGCACTTTACTAAATCAAGGCATCTACCACTCCCTCAAGGAGATCTTATTTCCCGTTTTTGGATCTTTGATTACATGCACTAAATAAATATATTTTAGAATGGAGGGAGGAGTAGTCTAATAGGGAAGCTAAGACTGAGGACCGCTTGAGCCCAGGAGGTCAAGACCAGCCCAGGCAATATAGCGAGATTTCATCTTCAAAAAAAAAGAAAAGAATGCAGGGAGGGATATTAGCCAGGAGCAGATGAACCCAGAGGATCTGCTTCATTCGTCTGGAGGAAGTATATGATTTAGGCTGAGCTAGAATTGGGAGTCTGTTAAACCTTCAGAGGAGCTAAGACAGGTTGATAATTCTTAGCTAGCCTCAGAAAGACAGGGAAGAGAGGATAAAAATTCAAACTCCCCACCACAAGTGACTTAACAACTCGTGGTAGGGAGGAGGAAGTCTTTCAGTTGTCATAGTTTGCCTTCATTTGTGTGCGTTCCATGCCATGAAATGTCCTCAGCCTAGATCTAAGATTCCATGCTGGTCTCCAGAAAATTCCCTCAATATAAACCCCTACCTTTAGAATAGCGTCTAGGACTTGAACTAGAGAGGATTTAACTTTACAACCTGGATCCAGAGGTGTTTGTATCAGACCAAAGATAGCACATGTGATGTTGCATTTTTAGGTGTCAGTCACTTTTGAGACCAATTCCTTTGGGAAAAGTTTAGAAAACAATACCTCTGTTAGTTAACTTTTTTCCAGTTTTGTTCATTCAGATGGACTGAATTTGTAATGCTTACAAGTAAGCAGTAAAGTAATAACTTACTTTATTTAGCCTTATGGAGAGAATTGTTTGCTGGTTATGACAAGCTTCATAGGTTATCTTTAACACTCAAGAATGTTTAATTATTTTCTTCTACAGGATTATCTGCTGTGTTGTATTCAGCATTGTTTGGCCTGGTATAAGAGTAGAGTGGTGCCCCTACAGCAAGGAGAGGAGGAAGAGGAAGAAGAGGCATTCTACCAAGACCTAGATGATATGTTGGAGTCTATTACTAATAGAATGATTAAGAGTGAGCTAGAAGACTTTGAACTGGTAATTGCTAAGTCCTTAACTGTATTGAATAATGGAGTTTTTCAGTATTAATAGCTTATTAATTTTTATCATGTATCTTTTAGGATAAATCAGCAGATTTTTCTCAGAGCACTGGTATTGGCATAAAAAATAATATCTGTGCTTTTCTTGTGATGGGAGTTTGTGAGGTTCTAATAGAATATAATTTCTCCATAAGTAATTTCAGGTAAGTTATTGCTGTGACTCCAGTTGTAATTTGGCAAACACTCCATTTCATATATATATATTCTTACAACGCCATATATATATATATATATATATATATATATATATATATATATATTTTAACTCTAGCAATATGCTAGGCAGTAAATAGACCACAGACTATGACACTGTCTCTTAAATGGACATCTAGATTAAGACCAAAGTATGTTCTTTCCACTAGAGAACACTAAAACATATGCTTATCAGGCTTAAGAATGTGTCCCTCTAAGCAGGCTTTGATTTATTCAGAATTCCCCAGACCCTGAACTCAAGAACTGATTTTAATATAGAAATTTGGTTGGTGGTTGTATTGGACTTTCATGCTCTGCGTTGACCCGTATAAATAAGGGAGGAAAAAAAATAACCCAGATAGATTGGTGGGACCTGGTGCTATATGAAGGTCCATTCGTTTATAATATCCTATCTAAAATATGACATTTTAAGAAGCATTGTGATTTCCTTATTACTGTATGTAAAAGTAAACCAAAATGTTCTAATGTTTGTCCTTGGTGGTCTCTTTTTCCTTTTATACAGTAAGAATAAGTTTGAGGAGGTTCTGAGCTTATTTATGTGTTACAAGAAACTCTCTGACATCCTTAATGAAAAAGCTGGTAAAGGCAAAACTAAAATGGCCAACAAAACAAATGATAGTTTTTTGTCCATGAAATTTGTGTCTGATCTTCTTACTGCTCTTTTCAGGTAAGGTTCTACTAGAGTGCTTAAAAGTACCTGCTCAAAGATATGCTTAAAGATAATGCCTGCCCAGGTTCACCTGTTTTACCTAGTTTGAATTCCTAGTTCTTACTGTATGACAGTAAGAAATAAGTCAGGAGGTTTTAATTTTCTTGAAACGAAAGCAGACAATTCTAGGTAGGCACTTTAAAGAGATACGTTGAATTATTAAAGGAAAAATGAGAAACAATGGACTAATGAATTGAAAAGATAGGGATGAATTCCAGCAGGTGTTGTAAGAAAATCTGTGTAAGTAGCTTGAACAAAATAACAAATAAACAGGAAAAAAAAAACTGAATTAAAAAAACAAAAGTACAACAAAAATATTAAAGAAAGACTAAGACTGACATTTAAATTTTATCAAAGTAAAGGATTGGGGAAGGGGGAGAAAACGAGGAAACACTAAGAATAATGATTGTAAAGGCACAGCCATGGCAGTGACTTTGACATGGACTACCTAGAGACTGCCTTCAGAGCTTGCTGGGTGTTGCTGTTCTGAACAGTTCCTAGAAGGCTTAATTCCAGAACCCAGTAGCAGTAGAGGAATCTTTTTTTTTCTCTCTCTAGGGACAGTACCCAAAGCCATGAAGAGAGCCTTTCTGTTCTCAGGTCCAGCAATGAGTTTATGCGCTACGCGGTGAATGTAGCCCTGCAGAAGGTGCAGCAGCTAAAGGAAACAGGGCATGTTAGTGGCCCTGATGGCCAAAACCCAAACAAGATCTTTCAGAACCTCTGTGACATCACTCGGTGAGCCACTCCCACTCTCAGAGCAAATTGGGGTTGGGGATGAAGAGTTTGAGGTTGGGCATGTTTTAAAAGTGAAAGTGCAGTCCAGTTAACTGAACTAATATTGGGTCTTTTTTCCAGTCCTGCTTTTTTTTTTTTTTTTTTTTTGAGATAGGAACTCTCTGTGTTGCCTAGGCTGGCCTTGAACTCCTGGGCTCATCAGGGCTTCTGATTCTGCTTTGATGTGGATGGTTAGTCAGATATAAAATCTTATTCTATTATCAGGAAAAAAGAAGGATATCACCTAATGATTAAATCATACATGAAGCAGACATGACAATTCTAAATGTGTATGTACTTGACAACAGAAATTCAAAATACTTGAAGCAAAACTGATAGAACTGAAGGAAAAATAGATAAATATAAATTAATTATATATAATCAATCCTCTCTCGGTAATCAATAGAACTAGTAGAAAACCATGAAGGAGGTAGAGACCTAAACAACATAGTCATCCAGCATGACTTAACTGATGTTTCTAGAACACTCAGCAACAGTTTTATCTTTAGGTGGGATTTTTCCCAGGAATGCAGGATTGGCACAAAATTTGTAAATCAACCAGTGTAATTCCCACTAGTATTCAACATGGTACTGGTGGTCCCGGCCAGTGCAGTAAGGCATGAAAGGAAACAAAGGGCATGCAGTTTGAGAAGGAAGAAATAACACTACCTTTATTCACGGATAATATAATTGTCTATGTAAAAAATTCCAACGAATAAAAAAAGCTACAAGGTTTATTGTTATAAGTTTAACAAGGTTGCAGGATGCAAGGTCAGCAAAAATTGTACTTTTATTTGCATACTAGCAGTGAACAATTGGAAATTGAAATTTAAAACACAGTACCATTTATAATAGCACCACAAAACACGAACTGCTTAGTGATAAATCTAACAAATGGGCAAAATTTGTATGATAAGAACAATAAAACGTTAATGAGAGAAGCCATAGAGACCCAAGTAAATGTAAAGATACATAGAGTCCATGGATGGAAGATTCAGTATTGTCAAGATGTGCATTATTCCTAAATTGATCTATAGATTCACTTCAACACAGTCCCAATGAAAATCCTATCAAGGTTTATCGTAAGAATTGACAGGATGATTCTGAAATTTCTGTGGAAAAATAAAAGACCTAGAATAACTAAAACAAGTTTGAAAGAAAAGAACAAAGGATACACTACTTCACTTCAGATGGCAAGTAAGCACACAAAAAGGTGGTCAGCATAATTAGTCATTAGATAAATGCAAATTAAAACTATAATAAGGTATCACTAAACACTTATTACGATGCCTAAAATTAAAAAGACTGATCATATCTGACCATGTCAGAGTGCTGTCATTAATATGATATGGAGAAATTTGAACTCTTATACAATGTAAAAGGCATAACCACTTTGCAACAGTTCTGCAGTTTCTTAATATTTAAGCCACCCACCTACCATATGATCTACCCATTGACACTCTTAGGTGTCATTTCTTTCTCAAAAGAAATGAAAGCATCTGTTCATATAAAGTCCTGTACACAAATGTTTATAGCAGCTTTATTTGTAATAGCAAAATCTGGAAACAACCCAAATGCCCATCAGCTGGTGAATGGACAGACTGGTATATCCATACAGTGGAATACTGCTCAGCAGTAAAATGGAACAAATGACTGATACATGCAACAAAGCCAGACTCAAAATGCTACACACTAAATGATACCATTTTTACATGATATTTTGTGAAAAGTTAAAGCCACAGAGACAGAAATCAGATCAGTAGTTGCTTGGAAATGGGAAGAGAAAATTGACAACCAATGAGCATGAGGGAACTTTTGGGGTGATGGAAATACCTTGACTGTAGGAAGATTACACAACTGTGTAAGTTTTTAAAATTTTGTAGAACTGTTCACCTATAGGATCTGAAGTTTACTTTTTTTGATTGTATCTCAGTGAACCTATCTTTAAAAATGAAATCACTTTTCCTCACTTCAGGGTCTTGCTATGGAGATATACTTCAATTCCTACTTCAGTAGAAGAGTCGGGAAAGAAAGAGAAAGGAAAGAGCATCTCACTGCTGTGCTTGGAGGGTTTACAGAAGATATTCAGTGCTGTGCAACAGTTCTATCAGCCCAAGATTCAGCAGTTTCTCAGGGCTCTGGGTAGGCATTTCAATATCAATAAATTGGCTTGGTCTGGGTTTCTCCTCCTTAACTAAACACCTTGATTCTATTTGTTAACCTACCACAAGATACCTGAGAGCAGTCCTAATGTTGCTAAGGAGTGACATCTAGTGGATTCAGGATTGGCACTTACCAGATTACATTTAACCACAAATAGTGACGGGAAAATGGAATATATTATTAAGAAATTGCAAATATTTAAGAGACACATTTAAATCTGTCTTCAGATTTTTAGCTTCCTAAAACTTTAGCTATTAAAAGGCCAAAAAAGCATGAATCTGTATCAAAGAGATAAGAGTTCTTTTCCATTCCTAGATGTCACAGATAATGAAGACAGAGAAGATGCAGATGTCAGTGTCACTCAAAGAGCAGCATTCCAGATCCGGCAGTTTCAGGTGAGAAGCCTTGGGAAGCTGCTCTACTGGCCTAGGGACCTTGCAAAGGAACTGGTAGCAGGGGCGGCTGGTAAGGATGGTCAGACAATGAGCAAGTAGGACAGGGATTTTTTCTGGGTCATCCAAGCAACAGAACATAGTTCTCAGAATGGAAGGTAATGCATTTAAAACGATCCTAGTGAGGGTGTATGCTTATCCACCTCAACCTACAGAACTCATTACCTCCAAGAATCGCTGAGTTAATACAAAGAGGTAGCCAAGAGCCCTTAAAAGTACAGAGTCTATGTTTTTGTTTTTGAGTCTGTGGTATAATTTGGCTTGGTTTGTCAGATTGCTTAAAGACTGGACGGTGTGAAGCCTGTTAGTTTCTAACCAACAATTGTCAAGATACCAGGATGTTCTATCACAGAGGATTTCTTTATTTAACAAATAATTTTAAAGTTTCTACTATGTTCCAGGAATTGTACTAGGTGCTGAGGTTTCAGCAGGGAACAAAAGAGACAAAAAATTCTTATCCTTACAGAGCTTATATTAATAGTAGGGAGAGTGACAAATAATAAAATATATAGTATTTCAGGTAATAGGGAAGGTGGGTAGAGAATGCTGGGTTTGGTGCCTCTTCTAAGCCTGAGGTCAATGGATGGGCTCCAGGGAGTTGTGAGCCGCCAGAAATTGGGTGCACAGTTCACTTTTAATGTACATTTGGGCAGGAGTTAGAGGAGAAAAAGTCAGTTTTCAAGATAATTCTCTTGGAATTTTGGTAGCTTTGAATTGTTTTTATCCAGGTCTTAGGAATCTCTGACTAGCTGTCTCTTCTCCCTAACATGAGTATGTCTGCTAATGTTTCTGTGTATATTTTCCTTTCTCAGAGGTCCTTGTTGAATTTACTTAGCAGCCAAGAGGAAGATTTTAATAGCAAAGAAGCTGCCTTACTAGTCACTGTTCTTACCAGCTTGTCCAAGCTACTGGAGCCCTCCTCTCCTCAGGTACTAGTACTACTACTCATTCAGTCCCATTTAGCATCCCTCCGAAGGCAAGGATTATTGTGTTGTAAAAGTATATCTAAATGTCCTCTTGAATTCTAGCTTATTTTAAATTATGCACCTGAGTTAATATAAGACCTATAAGATACATCCTTTCCTACATAGTGTTTCTACTATGACATACTCATATGCAGCCATACAGGGCAAGAACATACTACTTTTGTTTGTTTGGCCACTATCAAGGCTAAGCTGTAAACACCACAGAAAAAATCTTATGTTTATCTTTGGTGCCTTCAACCTTCTTAACCTCTGTTCTTTCTCACTGTTGTTGTTTCCTCTTCTTTTCTAAGATGAAAGTTTGTTAATTATGAAGAAGGTAGCTGACATTCAGCAGTCGGCTTTCTCAATACAGTTACCTGGTACTGAGTTTTGGGGAAACTCCACAAAAGATGATTAAGTCAGAATGTGTGACTGTAGTCCCAAAGCAAAAACAGCTCTGCAGAGATAGGTTGTATGTATATACATGTACTTGTACACACTTAGATGTAGAATTGTGCACCCACATGATCATTCATACACACAGAAGAATAAGAGGCCACATTTTCCTTCTGAATGCTAAATGAATCTGTTCCATTCAGGAGTAATTTTCCTGTAGGATGATAAAGAGCATCCCCAGGAGCCTGGGGCTGTGTGCTTCTACTACAGCTACTTCCTGGGCTTGAGGAAGACAAGTGGAAGCCCTGGGGTACGTGGCTTCTTATGTGAGCCCTTGCCTCAGGGAAGACTGTGGCCTCGGAGTATTATGATGTTTGAGCTCTGGAAAGCAGACCTAATTTTCCTCTTGTGCTAGTTCAAGTTAGCCCAAAGAAAGTCCTTTTTTCTGCTCACCGCATCCTTGTTCCAAACAACTTACCCCCACTTTACTCTCAGCTCCATTCTTTCATACTGCTATTTTTGCTGCAAAGAGGAAAGGACTGGGAAAGGAACAGAGAGAGAATTGGGGTAGGGGGAAATGTGGGGGAAAATAAATAGATTTGGAAAGGCTAATATAATTTTTATCACCCACCCATTTTCCCCTTCAGGCAGTCTCTAAAATTTTTTAAGTTTAATTTTCAGTGCATAATAAAGTCCTATGATTTGAAAACCAGAGATTGTCAAGAGATTTATAGTAATGGTCTCCCCCGTCCATGTCCTCCTCTCTCCAAATAAATAAATATCTTTAGTTTCTCATGTGTCCTTCAAGAGTTTATTCCTGTGCAAGCAAATATGAATGTAGATTTTTATTCCTAACCCTGACCCTCTTCACACAAAACCTTGTTATGTATCCCACTTACTTCATTTAACCCTATTCTGAAATGAAAATCTTTTAATATCAGTTAATAGAGAGCTTTCTTAATTTACCTTTTCCCCCAAACAGATCAAAGCTGGATTATTAGTCATTTGCACTTAAGAATCACTGTGTTTCAGTGTCTCTGTAGCTGAAAGCCTGTTCCAAAGAACTGCTGAAGCAGAAATTTGAGTGTGTGCCTGATGGTGCAGACCCTGCTATCTCAAGACCTTAAGTCTCCTTCACCTTGCTAAGAAAATCTATCTGGTTTTTTTGCCCCATATTTTTCGTTTTTCCACCTGCTCTTGTAACCTCCTTTGGCCTCTGGGCTCCTAAAAGCTAAATGTACTGTCCTTATAGCCAGGATCTTCCTTTCCCACACCTCTCCAATAGCCTAAAATCCTTCAAGATGTCTTAAGTGTGGAAAGTGTGGGGGCACGGGAAGGAAAAGAGGAAGCTTTAGCCCTAGACTACTGTGGTAGGGACAAAGGATGCTCAGGTGTGAGGACTCAAGACCCAGACCTCAAAACCTTTGGCCCTAACGAGGGCATAGACATCGAGAATTAAATCATATGCTATATTATGAGAATATTATCCAATATTCTCATAATTTGGGGCTTATTATTATGCTCTTCATAGTGTATTACCATTTGAGATCTAAGGGCATGTTTTGGCAGGTGATTTGCTTAGACATGGAAAGGTCTAGGACTCATCTGTTCTGACTACACCTAGATCTATCTCTGGTATGTTTCTTTAATATCTGAATGATTTCTAATTTAGTTTGTGCAGATGTTATCCTGGACATCTAAGATTTGCAAGGAAAACAGCCGGGGTAAGTTTCCTGCCATCTTTCCTAAAGGCTTTATATAAAATCATCATTACCAAATAGCATTTAGAAAAGAAAAGGTATTCCCCCTTACACATTCATCAGAGTGGTCAGAATGAAAAAGATATGTAATACCAATCCCAAGCGTTGGCAAGAACATAGAGCAGTTGGACCTCTCATTCACTGCTGATGGAGGTATAAATTGGTATAACCACTTTGGAAAACTGTTCATCAGTGTCTAACTATTAAAGTTAAATATATGCATTTTGTTTTGACCCAGCAATTTCACTCCCACCAGAAATATGTAGAAGAATTCTCATAGCAGCACTATTTTAATAAGTGTTCATCAGCAATAGAATGGATAGAGGAATTGTAATGTAATCACACAGTGGAATGCTACACAGCAAATGAGAATAAACAAACTATACCCACACACAACATGGAGAGGATCTCACAAACATCATGTGGAACAAAAGAAGCCAGACACAAGAAAGTACTCACTGTATGATTCCATTTAGATAAAGTTCGAAATCAGGGAAAACTAATCTGTAATGTTAGAAGTTAAGACAGCAATTTCCTTCATGGGGCAAGTAAGGTAGGAGGGGGTCTCTGGGTGCTGGTAATGTACTTGATCTGGATACTGGTTACACAGTGACGACTAGTGATGGGAAACATCTGCCTTCTTTGGGCACATTGATAAAGGGGTGCCATTGAGGGAGAGCTGCTCCGTTGAAGTAAGTGCAACACTGGGATATTGTGCCTGGGACGTGATGAGCTACGTGTTCTGGTTAGCCACTCCAGATACATGTATCTGAAGGACCTGACTGGGTTATCACTTACCTTTTAATTTGCTTTCCTTCCTACTCCTAGAGGATGCCTTGTTTTGCAAGAGCTTAATGAACTTGCTCTTCAGCCTGCATGTTCTGTATAAGAGTCCTGTCACCCTGCTGCGTGACTTGTCCCAGGATATCCATGGGCATCTAGGAGACATAGACCGGGTACTGTAGCAAGCCTTCAATATAATACCCTGTGTGGGGATACAGGTCAAAGGAACAACCTCACTGTCATTAGGTCTCACCTCTCTTTCCCTCCCTAGGATGTAGAAGTAGAGAAAACAAATCACTTTGCAATGGTGAATTTGAGAACAGCTGCTCCTACTGTTTGTGTAAGTATTGATCCTGAGCCATGGGAAACAGGTTTATTATTCCTTCCATTCTACTCCATATATAGAGTAAATTGTAGTAGCTTGTGTCCTGAGGCCTGTAACCCTACTGCAGTGGCCATGGTTATTATATTACCCCAGTAGCTGTGCGCAGTGAACCACACCAGGCATTCTTTTCTTTCAGTTACTTGTTCTGAGTCAGGCTGAGAAGGTCCTAGAAGAAGTGGATTGGCTAATCACCAAGCTTAAGGGACAAGTGAGCCAAGAAACTCTATCAGGTAAGATGAGTTCAAGTGGGGTTCCAGGAACTGTGACATGAGCAATGTCAACCAAAATCCAAATTGGACTACTGGATAAAAGTGGAGCCCCTGAGCTAAATTCCTTGTTTGTTTTTGAGCTAGATTTCTGATGTGATGAAAGAAGTAGAAGGTAATATGGCTTATGACAGCATGATTATTGATTCACTGCATAATGAACACTTGATTTCTAAATCTCCTTTACTCTTAACTAGAAAATAAGACTGATCCTATTTGATTGTGCCAATTTCATTTCCCTTCAGAAGAGGCCTCTTCTCAGGCAACTGCATCAAATCATCCTGCCGAGAAAGCCATCATCATGCAACTGGGAACTTTGCTTACATTTTTCCATGAGCTGGTACAGACAGCTCTGCCATCAGGCAGCTGTGTGGACACTTTGTTAAAGGACCTGTGCAAAATGTACACCATCCTTACAGCACTTGTCAGATACGTGAGTATCTGAAACACAATCAGGTTTACCCCCACCATTCGTTCCTAGCTAGCTAGGAGATTAGGCCGGGGCAGCAGCCCACTGTTGCAGAATGCCCTGTACAGAGTTCTTATCTGTCTTTGCAAGTCATGGTTTCACTTTAGTTTGGTCAGTAGCAGGCAAGCATCTCCACAGACCAGGGGAAAAGTTGGTGGCATAGTTCTAATCTCCTTTCGGAGGTCCTGATTTCCTTGGCATGTATGCGGTACCTAATTGAGAATAAATGCCTCTTTCAAATGCTTTCTAAGGTTTAATCTAAACTATAGCTATAGAATTAACTCTGAGTCCATATTGCACAAAAAAATTACACCATTTCTAACCAGTCTGGACACTGAAAAGGTGTTTATTCCCTCATTCCTTTAACAGGTAGGTATTATAATGCCTTATAGGTCAGGTGCTAGGGTGGGAAGAAAAATTATTATTTTTTTAAATGCAAGGCATATTCTGCCCTTATTGAGTTTAAGTTAATGTTTCTTAGTATCTGTCAATAAGAAACTCTTTTCTTGTACTTGAAATATTTTGGTACTTAACAGATTCAGAGGGTAAGAGGAACTAGGTAGCTATTAATAGTTCTGATTCTAGCAGTGATTCATATTAAATATGTAGGCATAGGTAACCCAAGAAAGATGTAGACCACCACAGTGCACCCAAACAGCAGTGTGGCTCTGTCTGGGAGTGTATAGTTCTGGCTATGATTGTGGCTACGAAGCTGCTGTAGTGCAAATACCAAGGTCCTCTTTTCTTTATTGGCATTTTAAAAGGAAAAACAGCAGTCATTGGTTTCTTAAATGCAAGAACTATCGGCCTGAAGGATTTTTAAGGCAATGAGCTGAGCAAGTCAGAAACACCCTTCATTGCCTGTTGTCTGGGAAACTTAAGAACTTTGGAGGAGGTTAAAAAGGAAGCTTTGTGTCTTGGCCTCTCTATGAATTTCTCTTTTCCCTCTCCAGTCAGAGTGATGAGTCATACTCCATAAGTTCACTGCAAGGGTCCCCTGTAGTTTCTTAGGATGGTCTGCTAAATCTAGGAATCTTTTGTCATTAGTATCTCCAGGTGTGTCGGAGCTCTGGAGGAATTCCAAAAAATATGGAAAAGCTGGTGAGTTGAGAATGCCTTTCCTGGGAATGGGGGAAGCGTTTTGCTGCTAGTTACATTGGTTTCCTTCTCCTTTGCTGCAGGTGAAGCTGTCTGGTTCTCATCTCACCCCCTTGTGTTATTCTTTCATTTCTTATGTACAGGTAAGTGATTCAGAGGCACGACCAAAATAGATCTTCAAAAAGGGTTTCTTACATGCCCAGGGCATTGCTTGGCCATCTAAGCTGAGAGTATGTAAAGTTGCTTCCCCACTTACTTCCAGTCAGAGGTGCCCATCAGAGATCAAGCCAAGGCTTGAGGGCTTTGCAGCAAGATCTTCATTCATACAAAGAAAACCATTTTATTTAATTTGGAGAAAGCATTTGATATGCTTGTGTTTGGAGCAGGGAAGGAACTAGCATGCTTGGCCTCAATAACTTGGTTTATTTCTGAGTGACTGAAAGTCCATGCCATTCAGCATCCTTTGAGAAAGTGAGTCAAGCAGCAGCAAGCACATGAAGAAGGGCTGAGATCAGATGGCAAAGGATTGTATGTGAGAGCACTTTCAAGGAGGTGGAGAGAATATGGACTTTTTAAGTGTCCTCTGGTGCTAAATACCACCAGATCCTTGTAGTGCTTAAATCTCCATTACTGTTAGCTTAAACCAGGGTTTTTAAACCTCACCACTATTGACAGACTGGGCCAGAGATATCCTTGTTGTGGGACCTATTCTGTGCATTTTAGGATGTTTAGCAGCATCCCTGGCCTCTACCAGATGCCAGTAGCAGTCCCCCTAGTTGTGACAACCAAAAATGTCTCCAGAAATTTTCAAATGTGCTTAAGGGCAAAATCACCCCCAATTAAGAACCACTGGCTTAAACACATGAAGCGATGAAAGACCTACTGTCTCCTAAGGCCCTTTTGTCACTGCAATAAATGTACTGTAGGGGTGTTATTGATCTTTCAGCCAAGATTCTAGAAACTATTGTGTAAGCAGTGGATTGTGACTGCTTTGATAGTGATGCTTCACTTGTTTTCTGCCTCTGCATCCTTCTACAAGCACAACGTCCTTCTGCTGGTAACTTGCCTCATTATGTGTATTAAGGGTGCCTCCCCTCCCCTCGAGAATCAGTGACAAGGTGGCCCATCATCTAGGTTTAGCTTGTGGGGTTCTAAGTGGGTTGACAATTGAAGCTCTCTGTCACCTTGCCTTTGTACCAGTTTTGTGATCTGGGTCAGAAATGCATCCATTTTCTGTGTCCAGCCAGCCACAGTCTGCAGCTTACTCTCATCAAGCTATTACTTATGGTCCTCTCCCTTTATCTCACCCAAATGCTTGTAAGCATGCATTTTCAAACGTCATGCTCATAAATTTTCATGTGGGTGCCATTCTGTCAAACAAATCTGTTGTCTATATATAGGATATATCCCTCTATTCCCAAATTTGGGTTTTGAGTTTCCTATCTCCAAGTCTTGATGATGCCTATAAGGCCACATTTCATGAAATACATAGACGGAGACCGTCCTCAAAAAAAAGCGGGAGGGAATTCAGTGAGAAATACTCATACTTCTTTTCTTAGAGATTCATGGTGTCCATTAGTATATTAAAGGTGCTGAGAGTTCTGAGAGTATGTTCAACAGTAGTTTCCAAACCTATTCAGGAACATTTGTTCTTTTAATAACAAACATTACTGTTTGGGAAAATAGTGTTCCATAGAGTATAGTTTGGGAAACAGTGCTATTAGACCAATGGTCCCCAACCTTTTTGACACCAGGGACCAGTTTCATGGAAGACAGTTTTTCCATGGACAGAACAGGGGGCAGTGGAGCTCTGCAGCCTGGTCCCGAACAGGTCACGGTACCAGTCCACGCTTGTTATGATCCACAAGTCACTTTGTTCATTGTATTAGAACATCTAACGTTGAGAGACCCTTACCTTGTGCCTGGTGTGCTCTTTTTATGCATTACCTCATTTATCCTCACTACACTTTGTGGTCAGTAGTTATCCTCATATAAGTTATGAGAAAAGGTTAGAGGTTAATTGAAACGTCCAAGAACAGACAGCTAGCAGAGCTGAGACTTGAACCTACCTAGTTTGACTCTACAGTAGGGGTCAGCAAACTTTTTTTGTAAAGGGCCAGATAATAAATCTTTTAGGCTTTGAGGCCATACAGTCTCCGTCACATTTACTCAGCTCTGCTGTTGTAATTAAAGCAGCCATAGGCAATATGCAAATAAATGAGCATGGCGGTGTTCCAGTGAAACTGTATTCTCAAAAACAGGCAGTGGTCCAGATGTATACCATGGGTTGTAGTTTGCCAACCCCTGCTATCTGAAATCATACTTGATATTTGTTGACACGTAAAATGTTGGATGGTTTTGGCTTTTTGTGTTTCTGATCCCGTTCTCAAACATTTCCTTCTGTGAATCACCAGGCACCTTTTAAACTGCGATTCTTTTTCCCACATTACACGACAACCAGTTTCATTTATTCCCTGGTCATTTTCCCCCTTCCCCATCCATATGACTTCAAACCTTACTGACAAGTCAGCTGATCTTTAGGCAAACATTTTTCTGTCTTTGTGAGATTTAACGAGCGCCCCTGGGCAAGAACCCATGGTTCCATTACCTCCAGCTCTTACCTAGAAATGGGGATTGTGTTTGCTACATCTTTCAGAGCTATATTCTTACAGCTCCTTCTTTTTTCCCTACCACCTTAAATGTCAGTGGCAAGAAAGCAGCAAAAACCATTACTCCAGAACCCTTAGCATCCTGCTCAGAACCGTACACCTTTAAAAGATGCTTCTCTTCTGGCTCTGATCTTAGTCCTACCTGAATCAGTCGGAATGGGCAGTGGACAGGGTCCCATCTTAGATACAACCTCTGGGAAGCTGACTCCCTTCCCATTCGCTCATATGAGGTATACCTGTGGCTGCTTCCCTGCCCCTCCCTTAATAGGGCTTCACCATCTACCGCCCTCTACCCTGCCTTCCAGGGCCCAAAACAGATTTCCTCATACCAGAACTTGGCATGTGAAACAAACCTCCCGTTTCTCCCATGTTTCCAATGGTATAGCTTCTCTGCATTTTGAGGTCCCTTTTTTATTTTCTTATCCCCATGGAGCATGTATGTTCCTTTCCTAGAAGGTATAGAACCCTCTTTGAGGTAAAACCTTCCTGTGTCTTTTATGTACCTCACACTTGGGTGGTTTTTTTCCCTAGACTCTCTTGACTCAGGTATTGATTCTCTTTGGCCTTACCAGAATCCTGTACTTCTTGGTTCTTTTTTATTTGTTAGTTGTTCTTCTCTCTCCAGGAGCTCTTTATTACCCAATAATCTACAACACAAGGAAGTGTTCCTATGACCCTTTAAAACTCTTTCTCAAGCATGTTAACTGTATTGCACGTAAGACATATCTGGTAAATGCCTGTTAAGTGGGTAGACTGAAGGCCCCTGCAGCAACTTCCTCAGCTTTCCTTCCTTTATAGAACCCTTTTAGGCAGCTGGCTGAAACAGAAATAGAAATGCATATTCCTGCCACCACCGTGACAGTCCCCATCCCACCAGCCACTTGGCTGGCCCAGTACAATAATGGTTAGCCCTGCCCTCAACCTCCATGTGCTAGCTCCTAGAGCAACTAAAAAATAAAGAAAAATATCTGCAGATTATAAAGCATCACAAAATTTTTCCCATCTTCCAGCCTCTGTTGCACAGATAATTCAGACTCAGTCCCCATACCCTATTGTAATGACCTAGGAAAATCACCACTAGCCTGCTAGCTCTACAGAGAAACCTTCAGGAATGAGAGAATGTGTTTCTATTCCTTTAGAATAAGAAGAGTCAGGGCCTGAAATACACAGGAGAGAAGAAAAAGGAGAAAACTGCTGTTGCTACAGCCATGGTAAGCTGCTGACACTGATCATTAAAATACAGTTGCTGGTGAACCTTGAAAACATTATGTTAAGTGAAAGAGGCCATTCAGAAAAAGACTACATGTTGTATGATTCCATTTGTGTAAAATGTCCAGAATAGGCAAATCTAAAAAGGCAAAGTAGGTTAGTGGTTGCTTAGAGCTAGGTGTGTTAGACAGATGGGGAGACTGGGATGACAGCTAAAAAGGGAATGGAATTTCTTTTGGCATGATGAAAATGTTGTAAAATTGATTGTGGTCATGTGCAATTCTGAATATACGAAAAAAAAACCTCACTCAATTATACACTGTGAGTGAGTTGTATAATATATGAATTATATCTCAATAAAGCTGTTACCACAAAGTGTGTGGACATATCATGTATGTCTACTTCTTAACTTACAGATTTTATGATCAGATGGATCATCTTATTTTTCCTCTGAACCAAAACATATTTTATTCAGGAAACACCAGAAAATCTTGAGCTGAAATAGAAGTAGTGAAATAGCTTAAGGTCCCCATTGGAAAGAAACATCTTAGGAAAAGCTGGTGAATGCAAAAGGTGCTCCCTAAAGGACCTGTAAGAGTTAGTGAGGGTACAGGAAAGTGAGTACTTACTATATTGCTGGTAAAGGCAAAAATTAGTGAAACCTCTCAAGGGGACAGTTTGGCAATACTGAATTCTGGGAGATACACACACCCACACACACACACACACACACACACACTCTCTGCTTTAACAATTTCTCTTTTAGGATATAAAGGCCTGTGTATAGGATGGGCCTAGCAACATTCACTGTTTGTTTAGAGATAGTCTTACTCTGTCACCTAATTCAAGCTCACTGCTCCTGGGCTCAAGGGATCCTCCTGCCTCAGTCTCTTGAGTAGCCAAGCTTACAGGCATATGCCACCATACCCAGCTAATTTTTTTTTTTAAAGACCCCCCCCCTTTTTTTTAAGGATCTTGCTACATTGCCCAGGCTGGCCTCAAACTCCTGGCCTCAGGTGATCTCCTGCCTTGGCCTCCTAAAGTGCTAGATTACAGGCATGAGCCACCACACCTGGCCATGTTTATAGAAGTGAAATACTGGAAACTAAGATATCCATTAAGAGAGGATTGCCTAAATAGATTGTAGTATGTTTATACTGAAGGATACTGTGCAGACATGAAAAAAATACAAATCTAAATATTCAGCTATATATAGTTATCTCCAAGGTACTGTAAACAAAAAGAACTATGTAAACAATGTCCTCATTTGTGCATTTAAAATATGTACAAGCACGTGTATATACATAAAAAATTTGGAAGGATCTACAAGTTACAATTCAAATTGGGGGGAGTGGTAAGGGGGAGATATAGAATCCCAGCAGTGAAAATTCATGTGCAGACTAGAAAAAGGAAATAGAGCTAGTGCCAGAGTAGACTCTTTGTTTTAAAAATATCAAGTCAGAGAAACAGCTAAATTTCTGTAAAAATATTCCTGCCCTCCTCAGCCAGTCTCCAGATAACAACAAATACTTAGGAGTTACAAATGGGAACAATGAGTGCAATAAACTCTATTGGCATTTGAGTCCCTTGAGATTGAACTGCCAAAAAATCTCAGATTACTGGTATATAAGTAAAATTGCATTTGATTGAGAGACTAGTTTTCCCACAAAGCCACACACAGTTCTTCTAATGACAGCTTCAGAGGAAAACTTTAAAAACCACTGAACTTACTACCGGATAAAGATAGGAAAGAAAGAAAACAAAACAATCCACTGAACCTGAAATTTAAGCCATCTTTTCTTCTTTGCCCTTAGGCCAGAGTTCTTCGAGAAACCAAGCCCATCCCTAACCTCATCTTTGCCATTGAACAGTATGAAAAATTTCTCATCCACCTTTCTAAGAGGTCCAAGGTAAGCATACTCTATTATGTTACCATTTCCACTTACCCTACCTCGTAAGGGGATCTGGCAGACTGAAGCAGCACAACTGCAATGGTGAAAAAAATGAAACTATGATCCATTTCTGTTCTTTGCTATTTCTGATCTGATGGCCTGAATCCAAACACGTAAGGAAAACAGGTCAAGTTGGGTGTATGCTTAAAGTAGGAACTCATTTTTAGTGTCAGAGGTACACTAAAAATGGTTTATGCCATCCTGGCAGGATCTGAGTAGGAAAACACTCCCGTGCTTATAATCCTGTCCCAGGTGAACCTGATGCAGCACATAAAGCTCAGCACCTCGCGAGACTTCAAGATCAAAGGCAACATCCTGGACATGGTTCTTCGAGAGGAGGGGGAGGATGAAAATGAAGAGGTCAGTGCCTGCTGCTGTCTGGGCACAGCCACAGATTAGTGAAGGGCAACATCTAGCAGACTGGGAAAGGCGGAAAAGGGGGTCAGGCGAAGATGAAAGCTAAGGACCCTCAAGAGGAGGACTGTAACACTTTGGCCCACACAAAATCCTATGAAGTTGCCCAAACTTGTACAGATTTTTGTTAGACGCTTCCAGGAAGAGGGTGGTAATGAAAGAATGTTTTTGCTGTGGGTCCTTCCCTGTTACGTTTTAAACCATTGGACGATGACCAGCTATAGCAGTCAGGCTCAGAAACCGGTTTACTTTTTGTACTGTCAGCCAAAGCAGGACCTCTCTCACTAGCTGGGTAAGGCTTCCTTCAGTTCATGCCAGTTACGTACCATACCCCCATCCCTGCAGCACCCCTGAAGCAGAGCTCAATATTTCCTTACCTCGGGCACCTAAAAATGTTACCATCTTAGGTTTGTCTGACATAAAGTAGCAAATCAGCCCACTCCCATTTCAAAAGTGGAAGTTTACATAAAATGCCCTGGATTTCTTGCTTCTCAAAACTTTTCAACCTACCTTCTCTAGATTATCATACTCCGGGCCCTAATGCACCTGGCCCATCCATTCCCTTCACCTACTTGGCATTTATGTTCAGAAGTGTTATGTAGCATTTTGATGCCTGTTGCTGCTCCTCCATCCTCTTGTCCCGTGAGTCTCCTGAGTGCAGCCGAACTCCTGAGGGAAGGAGTTAGCACTGCCTTAGTCTATCTGGAGGCCTCCCCTCAACATCTTTACCTCCCATGAGTGAGAAAGGGGGGAAAGCATGACTAACACAGGCTTTGCTGAGAAGATAAAGGGTTTTTGTGTTTTTTTATTTCCACTGCCTTGGTGCAGGTTTATCATGATAGAGCATTACTTCTCTCCCCTTCTAGGGCACTGCATCAGAGCATGGGGGACAGAACAAGGAACCAGCCAAGAAGAAAAGGAAAAAAGAAATGAAATGCCTGAGTTAATGTGAACTTTGGGGCTTCTGCTTTCTTTTTACCCAACAAGCAACAATGCCTCTTGTCTTATGCCCACACCAATGTTGGCATCTTGGTTCTGAGGCCATTGAATTCAACTGCACCTTCAGTTAGAAGGAATCTTCTTGGCAGGTCCTGCTCCTGAAAAATGGCTGGCCTTAGGCAAGCCCTTTTACAAAAAGCACAGCTGAAAGCCTGAGTTTGGGAGCCTGCACCGCCCCGATGAAGCTCCACAGGAGCAAATACAGAGCCTCCAGGCAGAGCTATGGTCCAAGCTGGCTTCATTTTTCCAAGGAGCCTTTGGTGAGTTCAATTATCTGGTAAATATCCAGCGCTTCACCTGAAAGATAGTGCAAACTGGTTAGGATGCCTCCTCAAGAACTTAACAGAGAGCTCAGAAGTGAGAAAAGAAACTTAATGTTTACGTCAAAAAGGAGGGTGAAAGGGTTGAGAATTGATTGCCAGGAATAGTAATGTAACATGTTAGGAGGGTCTGTTTTCTTTTTGTATAAAAGAAGTTTATCTTAGATACATTTTAAATGGAAAATAAGCTTTCTGGTTTACTCATCTTGGCATTTAAAGCACAGGTTTGTTTTTTGTTTTCGTTTTACCTAAGAATGCACTTTGACTTTATACAATAAATCCTCTTTAAACATTTCTGTTGTGGTTGAAGTGGGGGACAAGTGTAGGTGAAATATTTGAAGCTGTTGTCTTCATTTACTATGAATAGCTTTTAGAAACGTGCCTTTGTGACAACTCTCATATTCACTGTGGACCTAGGGCACCCTGTAAACTCAAATAGCCCAGATTATAGCATGAGCCAAGAGTGGATTTCTTCTCTGGGGCCCCAAGCTTCCTGTTTTCTAAGACCACTTTCTAGTCTACCTCCCATCCTAGTGTAATGAGGAACAAATGTGTTGTGCTCACCCTGGGGAATCCCGTATCTCCTTTCCATCCCAGTCGGGTTGGAAGGGGTTTTACAATCCATGGTCACTTCCTTCCTGAGGCACTGGTCAATATCAACTGCACTGAAAAAGGCGACTGACTGGGGCAAGTCATTCAGACCCAGCTTGTAGGCAAACATGCACCTGAAAGAGACCCAATCTCCTCTCACAGTCATGTCCCTGCTGCGAACACAGACTCATCACTCCAAGAGAATGACCTTGTATCCCTTAGAGCAGGGCTTCCCCTGGGCCAGTACCCAAAGGCGAAGGGCTAGCACTGTCCTCCAGCCAGCAGCCTACCCTCCTGCTGAGATACTGAAATGCAATTACAGACTCAACACACACTTTTTTTTTCCAGTTTGGTACATTTTATTAATATAAAAAATTACTTTCCATTATTGGGCCAGAGTCTGAGGAATAAATGAGGACTTTTTGTTAGCTTTGTTAAGCTTAACCCCCGGGAGATGATTAAGAGGGCAATGGTGACAATGTTGAATAACGTAAACATTTGCTATTTACCCGTTACTCAGGATAGATCATAGTTCCCAAACTGGTTCTGAGTGGCAGAGCAACATGGAACAGTAATATCATTTAATTCATCCATATGAGCTAGGAATTTTACTACAAGAAAATACAACTCAATATATAAAATATATATTTTTAAAATCACATTTGAGTTTCCCTATTAACAATGTTTTCTGTTAGCAGTCAGAATAACAAACTTTTGGCACTTAAGAAAACATTTAAGGGTGAAAGAAAAACATCTCAATTTTCTATGAATTGAGAAAGTCTTCTGTCATTTTAATTTCAAAACAGTAAGATGTGTTCTTGGGGAACACAGATTGAGAACTACTCTTTGGAACAACTCCCCTGATCTTGTCACTACCTCAGCTATCTAGTCTTGGTATATGATTCTTTCAAACCCAAGAAATCTTTTTTAAAAATTGAGGCCAATCTTTATAGAACTTTTATCAATTTTTTAAAATGAGAGCTAAAAGCTGAAACATTCATTTTGGGGATAGGGGGTAAAAACTCACAACTGCTTGGCCTGGCTCAAGTGGCTCTCCCCAAAGCCCCACACAGGAGCACATGGCCGGGCCAGAAAGGCCATGGGCCCCGCGTACCTGGTCAGGAGGTTGGTGATCTGCAGGGCCAGGGCAGCGCGGTAGCGGTCCTCCTCCCGCACCAGGTAGCGAACCTCGTCATGGATGCTGATGCAGAAACGCCCGTCAATGGCAAACTCATCAAAGAGCCACTTCATAGCCACAAGCATGAGGTGTAAGTAGTCCACAGCAGAGCTCTGCACCACCCAGTTCACACGGCTGGTCATAAACTGGAAAGGAAGGTGGTGGCACAGGTGAGAGGGGCTCTGCCACCCACCAGTTAACTCTGGCGTAAGCAATGGTCCAGGAGCCCCGGGAAAAGCTTCACTCTAGCTCCAACTGCACACATTGGTGAGTGAGGCCCAGAGGGAGCCCTGCCCTGTCCTTGTGCCCCCTCTCCCCACACTCCAATGGTAGCAACACACCTCCCCCTGCACAGCTGAGGGCTCCAGGGCTCGGCTGATGCGGCAGCCCAGTACCGGGGTGCACGGTGTGTCAGATGTGGCAATACTCTCCAGCTTATTGAACATTTCTGACTCTGTGCCCCCCATCCATGCTCGTTCAGCAACCATTTCCCACTTCTTCCAGCGGGACCTGGAAGACCAGGAACAAAGAGAAGACAGGCTTTGTCTTTCAGCATCTCGACTAAACAAAAGCATCCCAGCCCTTCTGGGGCCAGACCCCTCTCCCCATCCCTAACACACAGAAGGTTCTTACTTCCTTGAGGCTTCTCTCTGAATCTTGCGCAGATCCTGCAGGGAAACCCAGCCATCCTCACTCCTGTCCACAGGGAGGTCCAACTCCTTCACCAGCCACTCGCCCTCATCCGACAGCCGATACCTGGAGATAGTGTCACCACCATCGTTCCCATGGGAACGCCTCTGCCACACCCTGAGCTAGGAGTGCTCACACACCGCCTCACTCTTATTTGCAAAACCACCCTGGAGTCATGCCTATCCCCTAAAGGCTTAGAGGTGTGGAGGGAGAGGGGCCAGGTGAGGGCTCAGGTAGTGGGCAAGAGACAGAACAAGACTGGAGCAGTAAAGGACAAAGCAGGCCTGAGGTCCTGGGCGTTAACGTGGTTGGGAGAGGGACCCTCACCGGCGAAGGCCCTTGGTAACAGCATACATCTGCTGGGCCTTCTCAGCTGCTTCCTGCCGGGTGAGCCGGTGGTTGAACTGCATTAGTAGGCGCTCAGCAAAGGGCTGCCCAGCCCCATAGATGCGGCCGTAGTTGAAGACTTTGGCATGCTCACGGCTGATGCCCACTGTGGAGGCTGTCTTACTGTGTAAATCGGTGCCCCTGCTCTTCCTGCCCTGCAGCGTCATCCATCCGAAGGCTGTACAGCCTAGAGGACAAGAAGGCAGAAGTGAGAAAGTTCGGAAACATTCTCCCCAGCCCTGGGCCCTAAGGGCTGGGCTGCCTCCACCCTAGCCCTGCTCACCGTGCATGCCGGCAAAGTGGGCGTCTCCAAGCACAGCTGCAATCCACAGCTCCTGGGAGTCCACGTCAGCACCCACAAGCACGTAGCCAGGCGGAGCCTGCACCATGGCTTTCAACTCGCTGCCTACTCGGTCAGGCTGCGAGAAGAGTGAGGTCAGGCGCACCCAGATACCCAAGTGAGATTCCTCCTGCCCTGTTCCTGGAGCCAGAGTAGACTGACAAAGTGCTAGGGCCTGTCCTGAGGGAAAGGCTTTAGACAATGCCAGACGGCACTGCTCCAAACTGCACAGTTCCAGAGATGGCTGCCTATGAGCAACGGGGGTGACAGAGAATCTCTAAGCCTGGCCCTATGGCAGGCCCCTCACCTACATGGCCTCATCTAAACCATGACAGCTGTGGCTATTTTGCCTGTCATTGTCTGGCCAGAAGCAGGTGCCCAGAATACATTTGCTAAAGGAATGGACAATACTCAGGAAGCCAGATTTGAACTGGAGTCCTGCTTGACCCAGATCTTAGGTTCTTTTTCATGTACCTTGCCCTCTAAGATCTCCGTTTCTGGAGACCTAGGAGAGGAAGAGCAGGGTCCAGGGACACAGAGGACACGTACCCGAGCATTGCTGGCAGTGAGCCACGTGGGCTCCACAGCCCGGCGTGTGATGGTACCGGCAGTCACCACCTGGGGCAGAATGGCCCCATAGCGGCCTTCCTCATCATAGTCGGGGTGCCTGGTGGGAGAAGAGGGGGTCTCGGCAGCTTGCTCTGGCCCTAGGACTCACACCCACCCACTCAGTTCTATCCCCGCAACCACTCAGCGGGCCATACCTGGTCACAGTACGGGGCAGAGCCGACCTGGGCAGCCACACCACCATCTGGGAGCTGTGGGGACAGACGGGCCAAGGCTCAGCACAGCCGTGGGAAGGAGAATCCACCCCATCCCACCACAGCCCTCACCTGCCCCGCGTCAGGGCTGCCGTACTCCCTCGGTGCCCAGCCTCACCAACTCGACTCAGGGCAAGACCTGGGGCCCTGTGACACGCCAGCCAGGAGCTAAGCCTCTGGGCCCGGCCAGGCTTCTGAGGCAGCTTCTGCCCCCTTTCCAGGGCAGCCAGGAGGCGCCGCTTCCACCACTACTTCTTCCCGCACCCAGGGTGGACTTCACCCACCACGGCACTCTGCTCACAACAGTGTGCTGGTGGCTACAACCAGCTTGGAAACGGCCTTCGAGACAAATCCATCTGCCATTCCCAGACTACGAGACCCAGTTTCCAGCCCCCAAAAGAGCTCACAGGCCTCCAAGGACCTCAGCCACACCCCACGGCTCCAGCAGTTATAGCAAGGGGTTCCGTTAGAGCTCTGAGGGGCTGTCGAGGTCCTACAGCACCGTCATTTTGACATAAACAGGGAAACTGTAGCTGGAGAGGGAGAGAGACGTTCCCAAGGTCCAGAGCACCAGGACAACAAGTAGGCAGGCCTCAAGACCATGGTAGCTAGACTGCCCCTTTGTGTCAACTCAGGCTGAGTCAGGGGCCCCTGGGTGGGTAAAGGGGGAAAGGAGTCCCAGGACTGCAGAAACCTGACCAGGGGTACAGAAAAGCTTGTCTTTGCCCTCCCATGGTGGCCCACCTGATGCGTTTATGAGCATTCCTCCAGAAAGAAATCATTTTGTTGATTTCCAGGGCACGGGGCCCACTGGCACCTCCTGGGCCAGCCTGTAGGGTGCCATCCTCCATCTTGGGCAGGAAGTCCTTGGCAAAAGGGCTGCCCACATTACAGCTGTTACCATCCTGGAGAGGGCAGAGGAACGGGCTGGAGGTAGGTGGCAGATCTCTGGGTGGGGAACAAACGTGAGCACCTGGGCCCCTCTCAACACTAAGCCCAGAACCTCAAGCAGCCTGGGACACATCCTCAAACACATCATGCGCACGCACACACACGGAGGCACTAAGACGCTCAGACACAAGCAAACCTGGCTCCCCTATAATAGATTAGTCAACAGGACCTATCGTGTACCAGATGTGCCAGACACCCAACTGCCACCATGCCCCTCATCACCCAATTTTCAGAAGGAAAACAAAAGCTCAGAGATGAGGGTATTTGCCTGAAATCTCTCTGCCCCACTACTACTGTCCTATGTGCAGAAAAGGACAGTTTCCCAGTTTGAGTCA